CCGTCTTTATTGGGTATTTTTTTTGTTTGTTTATTGGCGGGATAAAGTAGCCATTAAAGAACCTGTCTAAATAATGGGAAAAGAATGTGGGAGCGGATACCAATGGACAAGTAAGTTTAGAGGAGCAGAATTGGACTGCCTTAATTACAAGCTTACAAATTAGGTAATTTGTAGGAAAGTGAAGGTACCGTACATGTTCTTGAGTTGTGTCTCTTTTAGCATCATGTAAGCGAATGCTAACTAGAGAAACGAAAATGGCTGACATGGATTAATGAATCAATTGGATGATGCAAAATATGGCTCTACATCTTTTTTAGGTTTAAAGTTAATTTTCCTTGCTTTCTTGTTCCTCGACTTTGGTATGTTTTGATTTTTGATCCCTTCATAAGTCGTGAATTTATGCAGATGTATTTACAATTATCATCTTTTAAACTCCTACAAGGTAGTAAGTATATATAGATAACGTAGTTTTCATATCTGTGAATCAGATAGCTCGAAATATCACCACCAATGAATTGGCGAATGCTATTCGTTATGGGTATCTTCGTGGTCCAGATGGGCGGTTCCGGAACCCATATAACCATGGGTGCAGGAAGAATTGTGCTGATTTTCTCATTCAGGGCCACACAGATGATGATGAAATTGCTTGGCCTCCATTGCAGCAGGTTGCCAGTTAGCATTATGTGCTCTCCAGTGTCTTAGGCCCTGGATGATGCTGGAAATTCCATCTGTACCTGCTTGTACTTTTTCCCACCATTGGTTACCCAATTTTTATACATAAATCCCTGGTCATTTTACTGGTACAAGCTCCATTTTCAGTTAGCCATATGTACAATTGAAAAAAATGAAATGGAAGAGAAATGAAATCTTTTTATTCTGTAATTGTGTTCCTTTTCATAATTCAAGAAGTAGCCTCTCTCTACGTTTCCGTTACGTTCAACAAAAAAATAACAAAGGTAACGGGGTTTTTGGAGACATCTATACGGTGATATCCGAATGTTTACTTCTAATACGAATGCTTAAATTATTATCTATAAGAATCAAGTAGAAATCAATATAATTTATTTAAGTCACTGAGAAGTGGACTTTAAAGGGATATATTACCCCTTTACTAGATTCTCTAAAATGCTGAACCTCCTGATTTTTAGTGTTTAGGTTATTTTTGGGAGTGCTTCTACAGGCAGCGGTTTTGTAAAATACATAAGCATTTTATTAAGACTTCAAGTGCTTTCAGCATATTCCCTTGGAAGCGTTTCTGGTGAAATGCCTTTTTGTTTAAGAAATATTCAAGGTGTTTCTTTACATAAGATCTAAAAACATATTTTCTCCAAAAAATAAAAAATAAAAAATAAAAAATTCAGTATTGGTTATTTCAAAAACACTTTTTTCATTGTAAAAACCCTCCCGAAGGATCTCTAATAATTAATTTGATTTTCAAAGTTATTTCGTCTAAACCAATTACTCTCTCCCAGTTTGGCAGGACTTAACTACTGCTTAGAGCTAGCATCAGTTTTGCTGTTGAATTAAGTGAAGAGACCCAAAATTAAAAACTATATCTTCTTCAATCTCATTTTGCTTGAATTCTAATAGGGTAATGCTAGGCTTATCACATTTTTACATCACATTGTGTACCAACTTTTTAATAGAGATGGACCCTATTGTATTGGTGGGCTCCACCTCTATTAGAGAGATAAAATTGTGATAAGCCTAGCATTTTCCATTCTTAATAAGGTAAACGAGAAGGAACTTGGGTGGGCTTCCCCACCAAGTGGCGACATGAAGGTAGATACTGTCTTAGTTAAAACATAACATATGCTATAAAATTAGTAGATTATTATAAATAAATCCAATCCTAGACATGTATTTATAAAAAAACCCAAACACTATTTAAACATAGAAACACACCCAAAATCAACAATTGTATATTTTTTGGGTGTGTTTATAAATGGGTTTTGAGTGTGTGTAATGATGGGTTTTGAGTGTGTTTATAAAGTGTTTTGAGTGTTGGGTTTTTTTATAATTTCAGCCCCCATTTTGGGTGTTTTAGTGAAACTCCCTAAAATTAGAGCATACCATTGGGTCAGAATTTCATAACGTTTAACCATTCTACATGTAGCATTAAAGATATCTATTCAAGCGACAAGACTATGTATCTATATGGAATTCTTCAACCATTTACATAACCACTAACTATCTAGAATAACTTTCTATCCTCGGGATCTATCTATGTAAGAGGTCAATAAAATGCCTTTCACTGCAAGGAATTCTAAGACCACCCACTTGATGATAATCAAAGCCAAACTCTTCTGCAGCCTTACTCAACAAGTCTTGAAATGAAGGGCGGTTCAAGTAGGAAACTGGAATCACAAACCGCTTCGTCTTCTCTTCTTCCTCTCCAACGTAAACCGCAAAGCAGCCTTTTGGAACATCCAATGTTGTTGTTGTTGTTGATGATGCTTGATGTAAGAATTGATCAGACCTTTTATGTCTCCGGACAATGTGCTTAGCATGATGAAGAACTATGTCTGCTACACGAATGCCCATTTTAACTTAACCAAATGAAGCTTGAGCAGATGGAGAAAAATTGATGAAAGTTAGAACACTATTTTCAGAAACTGAGAGTTTTCCTTGAGTCTTGGTTTATGGTTCGTGAATTGTGTGTGCTTATTTATATAGAGGAGAGAGTAGCACATAATTTCTTCTCCATATTGATTGATGGGTGATGTCCAACTTGTACCTTGGAAATTTGTTGAACTCTGGCACCCTCAGAGACTCACATAGCCAACTTGGAATGATGGGTCACACAATATAATACTAAAAATACATAAAGTCAGCCCACTACACCCTATTCTCATTTCTCCAATGTTTTTTAATTGGGCATGTTCTTGAAGTGATTGGCTCAATAAGTGGCTTGGGAATCTGAAAGTTTGATAAAAAAAACCTATTGGTATTCTTATCGCCATGTGAACTTTACAATGCTAGTGTCTCTTGCCAAGACCCACTCAATTGGCTCAAAGACCATTCATTCAGTCGAAATTGCCTCATCACCAATCATTTTAGATAACAGATGGCTTTCAGCATACACCTTTATCTACATATATATATATATATATATATGATCAGGTTCAGGAGTAAATCAACACGAGTTTACTAGTTCCTAACTCCCAAGTAAAGCTTTCTCTGTTTCACAAGTCAACTGAAATCTTCATTGTTGGTTTTCTTGTTGAGAAATTTTAAACCATGGGTTTCCGGTTCCCTGGTATTGTACATTTTAAGAAAAATCAAGCACCTTCAAAGGCTTCGGACGTTCCTAAAGGCTATTTTGCAGTGTATGTTGGGGACAGCCAGAATAAGCGGTTTGTGATTCCACTATCATACTTGAACCAACCTTTGTTCCAAGATTTGTTAAGTCGAGCTGAAGTGGAATTTGGATATGATCATGCAATGGGTGCTATCACAATTCCATGCAGCAAAGATTCGTTCCTTGATCTCATTTCTCATCTTGGTACATGAACAGTGGCTAACATTCCAATGTCTATGGACACAATTTTGACACCAGTGAGTGGCTGCATCAGTACCAGGGTCACTTACTTGTCTACAAGGATAAATGTTTGCATCCTTGAGGAGATGGAAAGTCTGGCTGAACTGAAGGAGGGTCTTGGATTGATCATTCAAAGAATGATATCACATCAAAGGGTGTCATGGACAAAAACCTTTGACAATTCACTGGCTGGAAGATCAAACTGCCTGACAGGTGAGGATCAAAAGGCAAGCCCCAGCAGTCATATGTTCACAGAACCTATGAATTTGATAGATATCATATCAGGATTTTCTATTTTCAACCCCATGTAATTAGGTTTTCTTGATAGATAAATTGAGAATACTACTTTCTTATTAGATTCTGGTAGCCAAATAATGCAAGTAAGAATCACCATAAGCAGCAGATTTTCACGAAAGTCACAAATGAAATACCAAATTTCATTTCCGTCTTCTGCATAGGACTTGTTCTGTTAGAAAATTTGTTGCTATATGCTGCCAACCCATGTGGATTTTCTTTTGGTTGTTGGAAAAAAAATGATTCTTCTGAACCAGGCTTGGTGTAGGAAGGCCTGAGGTTTCAATATGTATCCAATGGGGCTCAAATTTGGATATGTCATAATAGACACCCATTGGAACAACTTTAATGAAGAATGCATTCCCATCTGAGTAGTACAAGTGTACATTTTGGGCCTTACAAGTTGACTGCCGAAAATAGACTGGAATTGACTTCATTGCAGTAAGTTTGTGGGCTTGTTTTGGGCTTGATCTTCCCTCCTACAAAATCTGGAAAAATATGGATCTTCAAACCCTTTGAATTATCTTTCCAAGCATATGTAGCCTAGCTCTAGGAAAAATCAGAAAGCCCTTCAAATGTGATATTTGGCCCAGTAATGCAGATGATGCAGAATTTAACCTTAAGTTGCCAAAACTTGTATAACTTTCTCTAGAAGACTCGGAATCATGAACCGTAAAATTCTCCAGAAACTAGACTTCTGCATTTTTCCAATGATATAAGGCTCACCATCTGGTTCATCTTGAGCAATTACAGTCCAATTCGTGAAGTTGACTGATCTGCAGACACCGTTTTGAGCTAACTTGTCTCCAAAATGCATTTAATGAGTCTCAAGCTTATTACACTGAAACAAACACAAAATTTATTAAAAGCACAAGTTTAACTCAAAAACTTAACCAAATCATAAGTTAGAAGGATACAAAATGATATGTAATTATGCACCGATCAAATACCCCCAAACCTAGATTTTGCTAGTCCTCGAGCAAAACAACACAAAACAAAGTTAAAAACAAAACAAGAAGTTAACTAAACCACTTCCGCAGGTAACTCAATTGCGTTGAGCATATGCAACAAGCCTTTAAACCTCTAGGCATCCCTAGTAGGAGGAGTTGTGTCTCCTGAGGGTTTAACAGAAATGATACCCACAAACGTTTTACTAACTCTACAAAACAAAGTGGTTAGAAAACTTATTAGATTTGTTAGTCTTTAAGCAAAATAAAAGAAACACAAAAACAAAAATAATTACAAAAACAAAAAAAATAAAAAAATAAAAATAAAAGTAAAAAATAAAACTCAAAACAATCTTTCCGAACATTTTCTGAAAAGAAATTGTCAAAACATAGAGAATATTGAGAGAAGAAAGTGGAAAGAGTAGAGAGAATGAGAGTTGTTGAATATTTTATGATTTTCACTTATGTTTTCATTACTTACAATCAACACATATATATACAAGTTCCTAAGACATTAGTCAAGCCCCCCAAGTTAGGCAACCAACCAAGTTAGGCAACCAAACTAATTAGGCAACCAAACTAGTCAAGCCCCCCAAATATTGTAGGTGCCAAACATAGTAGGTGCCAAACATTAATTGACTATTACTAGCCACATTAATTGACTACTAGACAACATAATTAACATAGACAAATTCAACATATGACAACTTCTAACATTCCCCCTCAAGTTGGTGCATAGATATCACCGATGCCCAACTTGATCAGTGAGTTGTGGAATACTCTGCTAGAAACTGCTTTTGTCAAAATATCTGCCAGCTGGTCTTCGGACTTGACAAACGGAAGCTGAATTTCTTTATTTTCAACTTTCTCTTTAATGAAGTGTCGATCCACTTCAACATGTTTGGTGCGATCATGTTGAACTGGATTGTGTGCAATGGATATTGCAGCCTTGTTATCACACTGTAGATGCATTCCTAATGTAGGTGCATATCCAATCTCTGTAAGCAATTTTCTCAACCAAAGAAGTTCGCAAATTCCTTTGGTCATTCCTCTGAATTCCGCTTCTGCACTAGACAAAGCAACAACATTCTGTTTCTTGCTCCTCCAAGTAACCAAGTTACCTCCCACAAATGTGAAATACCCTGATGTTGATCGTCTATCAGTGACATTCCCTGCCCAATCTGCATCTGTATAGCCACTGATATTCAGATGACCATTCTTAGAGAACATAAGTCCTTTTCCTGGTGCGGACTTCAAATATTTAAGAATCCGAAGAACCGCATCCATATGATCTTCACTTGGACAATGCATAAACTGACTAGCAACACTTACAGCATACGCGATGTCGGGTCGGGTATGGGATAGGTAGATCAGTCGTCCCACCAATCTTTGATATCTTTCTTTGTTAGTGGGAACTTGATTGGGATATTCCCCAAGGCGGTGATTCTGAACAATTGGAGTGGCCACAGGTTTGCAATCTAACATTCCAGTTTCTGCCAATAAATCTAGAACATACTTCCTTTGTGAGAGAAATATGCCTTGCTTTGATCGAGCAACTTCAATGCCCAAGAAGTACTTGAGTCCACCAAGATTTTTCATTTCAAACTCCTTTGCCAAACATTTTTGTAGTTGAGAAATTTCCTGCATATCATTCCCAGTAATAATCATATCATCGACATAAATGATTAGAGCCGTTACCTTTCCTCCCTTGTGTTTTAAGAACAGAGTATGGTCAGAATTACTCTGCTTAAAACCATAAGTCTTCATTGCCACGGTAAAACGCCCAAACCATGCTCGGGGAGACTGTTTCAATCCATATAATGCCTTTCGCAATCTGCACACCACATTAGCAGGAGTAGATGTAACGTATCCTGGTGGGATATCCATGTAGACTTCTTCTGTGAGTTCTCCATGGAGAAAGGCATTCGTCACATCGAATTGGTGGAGAGGCCAATCAAGATTTGCTGCAATGGACAA